CTTCATATTCTGGCTCCCGGCTTCATTAAGCGGCGCGCGAGGGAGCTGAGCAGGAAGATTAAAGCTCCCTCGCCGCCTACTCAGCCTGTCCGCCCCCTCGCTGCCCGCCTCGGGGGGGGGGGGGGGGGGGCCCAAAAGTGCCCAGCTGGCCAGCCCTTGGGCCCCCCAGGACACAAGGCAAACAAGGGATCTGCCTGAGCGTTTGGGGGCAGCTTTTTTTGCTGCCCCCTACAAAGTGCCACCCAAGACAGATGCCTTGTTTTTGGCTTGTGTAAGATACGTCCCTGTGTATAAGTATCTAAGTATGATGGTACAAGGATTAGCTAGGTATGGCTCCATGGTGCATGTCTATACTCTGTGTCTATCCTGTGTTCCTTTTGATGTGCATCATCACCCCTGTGTCGATATTGATGTCTGTCCTCACTCATGTGTCCTTAGCATCATTCTGGTGTCGATAGTAACATAAAATGCTTCTCTCCACTCTCTCCTTCTAGGTCCCAAGATTTACGTCATAATTTGACGCCAAACCAATCCACATCGATCAAACAACATAGGTTGCATATTTTCTGTTCATATTTCAAACAAATCAATAACAAAATTCCTGTTGTGTGTGTGTTTCTATCAGTGTTTATGGTGTGTTACAGAGCATATCGGTATTGGTATTTCTGTGTGATGGAACTCTATGAGGCTCTCCCAGCTCTGCATGTCTCTCTCAATGCTCCCTGAGACAGCCAGAGTGGGAGAGATACTCAGGCAGAGTAGGAGAGACACATACTTGCAGATCTGGGAGATCCTCTCAGATCAATATTTAGCTCCCCCCCCCTTTCTTTCTTAATTGTATGACTGTCTTTGAATGGCTTTGTATGACTGTGTATGTCAGTGTCTGTATGACTGTGTCTGTATATCTGTGTATAACAGTTTCCTGGCTATCGGGCACACCGGGCAAATGCACGGTGGGCCACGGTGGCCATGGGCCGAGGCGATCACAGGATCTCCCCTGCCGGTCTATGTAGGGCCGAGTGCCGGCCCTGCTGCATTCCATGACAGGCCGATGGGGAGATCAACGATTTCTCTCACCGGCCCACATGTAGTATATTGCAGCCGCGGCGGGGGAGAGAGGAAGGGAGACATAAGAGGAACCCGGAGGAGCTCTATCTTGCAGCTCCGCCGGGTTCCTCTTGCGAGAGTCGACGCGTTGCCATGGCAACGCTCCGGGCCTCGCGAGAGTGAACTCTAGCCCCACAGTTCACTCTAGTTCACTCACCACTAGAACCACCAGGGATGGCTGGCAGCAGCACGATCCCCCCTCCCAGGCTAAAGCGAAGAAGGGAGGGGGGATATAATCATTCACAGCACCCTTACTCACACACACACCCTGCACCCCTGACACTCACAGCACCCTCACTCACACACACACACACTGCACCCTCACACGCATCATGCAGTGGCCCCCCAATTGAAATAGGGAGCAACGAGTCTCCCTTCACAAGCTGCTGTGTTCCACCCTTTCCCTACAAGTGGCCAGAGAGGGCCGGGAGAACTTCCTCCTTGGTCACAGAGAGCAGCGCAGGGGAGAGACAGGTAGAGAAAGCTCAGCTCTGCACAGAGGCATCCAGGCAGTTGCTGGTAAGTGTGAGTCAGTCAGTGTGTGTGTGTTTATAGGCCAGTCTGTGTGTGTGGGGCTCAGTCTGTGTGTGTGTGTGTGTGTGTGTGTAAGGGTCAGTCTCTGTGTGGGGTGGGTCAGTCTGTGTGTGGGGGCTCAGTCTGTGTGTGTGTGTGTGTGTGTGTGCGTGTGTGTATGTGTCAGTCTGTGTGGGGTGGGTCGGTCTGTGTGTGGGGGGGTCAGTCTGTGTGTGTGTGGGGTTAGTCTGTGTGTGTGAATTGGTCAGTCTGTGTGTGAGGGCAATGTGTGT